CATGCCATATGTTAGCCTAATTGAATACAGCCTTCTAATGCTATCATAATTGAATACAGCATGCCATATCCTAGCCTAATTGAAGGCAACCTGCCAAATGCTAGCTTAATTTAATGCAGTCTTCTTTAATTGAATACAGCATGCCATATGCTAGCCTAATTAAATGCAATCTTGTCAAATGCTAGCCTAAGTAAATGCATTCCTGCATAATGATTGCCAATGAAATATGCCTTCAGTGTATGGAGATGCTGGCTATTGACCAAAATCCATTCACATAGATTAGGTCTGATATAACCCATTTGAAACAGTAACTATAGAATAGGTCTGATATAACCCATTTGAAACAGTAAGTATAGACTAGGTTGGATATAACCCATCTGAAACAGTAACTATAGAATAGGTCGGATATAACCCATCTGAAACAGTAACTATAGACTAGGTCTGATATAGCCCATCTGAAACAGTAACTATAGACTAGGTCTGATATAGCCCATTTGAAACAGTAACTATAGCCTAGGTCTGATATAACCCATTTGAAACAGTAACTATAGACTAGGTCTGATATAGCCCATTTGAAACAGTATCTATAGTCTATTGTTCATTGTTAAAGGACAAGCTCTAATTTCTGATAGTGAATTATTAAATTGAAAGCACAAGATTTTGTTTTGGTACTATCATTTCTAATGTTGAAAATTGCAGGAATGCTTGTTAAAGGTGTCAACTGATTATTTTTAACCAGTTATATGCATTTTCAAACAAAGTAGCAGTTGTAAGATGTAGGAATAGCTTCCAGTTATCTTCAGTGTTGTAATATTATAATTTTACTGTATGTGACCTTTTGGCGCTGCTGTTTTGGCACAGAACCATTTTCGCGATGGTCATTTTGGCGTGCCAGTTACCTAAATGGTTTAATTACTGGGTAACTGGGACTAATTACATGTCACATTGTGCTAACATACATCTGGTTTAGACACAACATAGCCCCACAGTCATTATAGGAACAGAAAGTATTGGCAGAGAGGAACTAATTACGTGTCACATTGCACTGACATACCTTATTGAAACCGATATGGTATGTTATCATGACTAGTATTACTCCATGAGTGACACTAATCCATGTTGTGAATTCATTGTAGAGCACTGCACAGTGTTGCATAAAAATATTTGATAAACTAAGTTTATTTATAGGCTTAAATGCATTAAAATAAAGTTTTTCTTGCCAACTGTTATGTACTACTTTTATTGAGAAATACTTTGAACATTTCTTGAATACTTTGATAAACTACATTGTTTTCTGAATGCTTTAAAAATAAATATTTATATTGACAAATACATGTAGGTGGATAAGCACCAAAATGGCTCTGTGCCAAAACGTCCTTCGCCAAAATGGTCGTGCCAAAACCGACTTTGATAATTTCATCGGGCATTCCATAATTCACCATTTAATATACTAAGAAGAATGCTGAACACCAAGACAATACAGGGCTGTGTAGAATGGTCAATACAGTTGTTAAAAGATCTGAAGTTATATTGGATTATAATATTCCGCCATAACAGTGAGAGGGGCATATAGTCAGATGCATAGTATGGGTGTGGCAAGACACCGCATGTGCCATGGGTGCCACTTAAAAAGGGAGCAAACAAAATTGGTGAGCAGAACAAAATTTTTCATACTTTTAAAGCTTTGATAGGGGTGCAATTTTAGTTTTTGTCGTGGGTGCCACTTTGATAGGGATGCAATTTTAGTTCTTTTTTTGAGTGCCATATGTCCTTGGTGTGCCTCTGCATAAGTCTGTCACACCTTGGTATTGTTTTGAGTTTAGGTCAGTTTCCAGGCATCGTAGTAGGGAATCAGAGTTTCATGAAAACATTTCTAGTTTACAAACTTTGTATTTTCTAATGTGTCAATTTATATTGAATCTGTCATATTAATTGTGTGTACTTAAATATTAATTATATATACATGTACTTAAATATGAATTGTGTGGACTTGAATATTGTATCCATTCTTGTCATTGTTTTAATTTTCATGCTTTAATGTTACCAGTGAAAAATTGTGTTGAATTTTTTTTTGTTTGGGGTTTGTTTTTACATGAATAAGTAAGTTGGTTTCCTGTCTCAATTCTGTTTACTTTGCTAATCATTGCAAATTTTGTAATGTTACAGATTTTAAGTTTTTTCATTCAATGAACTCTACATATTCATGTTTTGTTATTCTAAAGATGTAATATAGTACAGTATTTGCTTGGATTGTTTTTGGTTTTTATTGTAGATTTGCCTCCAGATATTAATGGTTCTTAATCCTTTTGATTGATTATTATATCAACATCTTGAATTTAATGATACATTGTTGGATTTGATATATGTGTTTTAAATCTTGCAAAGTAACGGTGTTGTTATCCAGTCATGTCCATACTGAAAGTCAAAATACCTGTGCTAGCTTTACATTTGTAACCTGTGTTACATTGGCAACAATTAATTTGTAACCTGTGTTACATTGGCAACAACTAATTTGTTCTTCTTACTAAGTTGACCATTAAATTAAATTAAGAATTATAATCCCAAAGATTATTTTAAATTACAACTTGCATATCAGCCAAAATCCACTTAAAATCACATCAGACTAATATAATTGAAAAGTGGTGGGTCCTAAGGTCAACTTAATTCTTCCCTTTGTGACTGTCATATTTTGTTTACTACTAGAAACTAAAACAGTCTTGTTTTATCTAATGACTTGGAATACTATTGATCCTGGTAGACAAGATATTTTACTGGTTAAGAACAAGAATCTATCTTTTTTACCTTTTCACTAAGACTGGTAATTGTCTGCTTGGATGCTTTATGTTTTTTTGATGAGATCTAAAGCATTCATAAGATCCTGATGAAAAGCATGTGCTGTTCAGGGATACTTCATGATGTGGCAGGTGTAAACCCACTCTGTAACAATGAAACATGGACAAGAAGTGAAAGATAAACCAATAATCAGTTCATGTTTTATTGTTTTCATTATTGTTAAATTTACATAATTTAGTGAATATACTAACATTACCATTCCTTTGAAATCATTGAGTTTTGTCTCAAAAAAAATTTGCTTCCAGATCTTCTGGTGGATTACCTTTTAAATGCAACTGATCCTTTTGGTCAATAAGTTTAATATCTTCAGACAATGGAAAAATAAGTAAATGGTCAGGTCATTATTTGAGTCATAAATTGTATTATAATCAAGATATGGTATTTTTATGAGCATCTCACTCTTTGGCTGTGAATTTCATGGATGACATGTGGAGTCTTGTTTGTTAATATTTGTGACATGTCCATGACATGTTATGCAAGATAAGTACCTTTTTTCTTCTTGTGTCATTTTGAGAGATGAATAAGTAGACCTTTATGTGATGTGCTCATTAGACTACAGTAGGGCTGGGTTAACTTGTTTCACAGTAAAATCAGTGGTATAAGTTGACCCTGATGTGCTGGACTCATTATAAAACAGTAAAATCAGTCATAGAAGTGCTGATATGCTGGGTTCTTTATACAATATTCAGATTGATTGTAAGTTAGTATAAATTGTAAAAGTAAACTTTGATGTGATGTGCTTATCATACAACAGTCAATTCAGGGTTAAGTCAATTGTAAAAGTTGACCTTGATGTGCTATTGTGTACAATAGATCTGGTTCATTGTGATTCACTTATGTCGATTGTAAAAGCTGGGCTTAGTTGATTATTTACTGTTAGATTGATTGTAAAAGTAGACCTTGACCTTTCAGGCTTCTGGTACACAACAGGTAGTTCACAGTTAATTTAATTAGAAATGTAGACCATGATGTGTTGCACTTTGCATATGACATCAGATGTAGGTTGATATGATTCACTGTTAATCTGGGTTGATATGATTCACTGTTAAATCCATTGTAAAAGTAGATTATAGTGTGCTGAGTTGATTATGCCGTATAGAACTGTATCAATGAGATTCACTGTTAACTGACTGTATACAATGTTTATTTGGTACTTTAATAAATGATGTCTATTTAGTAAAACTGATATGTTATATTTTTAAAAGAGGAAGGACTTGAGCCAGTGGTTTCTTTTCTTATAAAGCTGTAGATAATTACTTTTATTTACAAACAATATTATACTTATATTTTGCAGACAGTTTTATTCCATAACATACATTTATTTTGTGGACAATCTTAATTACGTTGTAACAAGATTTTCTGATGAGATTCACAATATTAAACAAAATCAAAATTTATAAGAAGAACCTTATAATAAAAATGATATCGCACATGCTTAATTTATTTAAGTTTTGTTGTACTTGCATTTATTCTTTTTTTTGTGTTTTTTCCCCTCCGTTTTCTGAATAATTTTTATTGATAACATCCAGATGTAAATCTTAGTTATTATTTCATGAATCTTCTTTGTATTCTGATATTTTTTGATGGCTTAGTACTAGTTTGTAATATTAATAATAGTAACAATTATGTAGTTTCACTAAAATTTGTAGTAGAGTAAGGATCTGCCAACTTTTAAGTCAATTGTATATCAAGGGAGGTAAATCAAGGTTAGGTAACATTTGATTTGATAGCAGTTATCTCCATTGGATATTGTTTCTAATAACTAGAGAAACTGCTTAAAATAAAATTATGACAATAATTCCTTCATTAATGTTTCATATGTTAATATAAATTTTATATTTTTTAATAATTTTAATAATTTTTTTTTGTGCCATAAAACAATATAAAGATTATTTAGACTATGTGTATGTGTGTGATTTAGATTTTTAACATAGCTTTAACAATTTTTCAGTCTTATCACTAAAGCGTCTGCAGTGTGGCAGTTTTTAGTTATATCTAGCACTGGTACATCATGCTGCAGATATGTGGCATCATGTCCCACCCAGTTACATTATCCTGACACCAGGCTGACCAGTCCTAACACAAACCTCTTAATGCTGAGCGTCAAGCGAGGCAGCTGTTAGTACCATTTTTGTAAGTCTTTGGTATGACTTGACTGGGGGTTCAAACCCACAATCTCCCACATTTGAGGTGGATGCTCTAACCACTAGGCCACTAGATTGGTTCATCTTTTATAAATAAATATAATTTTTGAATTCTGCAATCCATCTGTCTTCCATACTTTGATTTCAGTTACTGATGCAAATTGTTTTTTGTTTTCTTCACCTAATTTTTGTTCTTGGCCAGTGAAAACCAATTATCTGATTTTGTCATTAAATACCCATTCACATATATACTGACTGATAAGTTTAGTTCTGCTGCAAACAATATAGAACCTGATTTGCAGTCAAATAATATGCCAGAAGATAAGGGTCTGTGTTAAATTTATCTCCAGATTACTCTTAATAACTTATGTAGATCCAAATCCCCCCTCCCAAGCATTTATGTGATTGTAGACCTGGATCTGTGCAGTGTAAAGTTAGTGTATACAATATTTGTAGTTTTTTTTAAGTTCTTGTGACACAAGTTGAAACATCCCTTAGTTTAAGGTGCCCTCACTTGTAATGCATCTTCCATTACCATAGACATTATGACAACAGTGTTGTTACCTTGCATTATTGTTGATCTCATTACTACTGTGTTATTAATATTAATATGCCAGATAATAATTTCTATATCTGTGACCTCATGTTCATACAGATGATGACATAATGTTGGGCAGAGGAAAGGCTAAGTGACTGCCAAGGTTTGCAAAAGATTTGAAATGAGCAGTCATTATGAATGTCAGTATTTTAAAGCTACTGCTAAGTAATTAGGCTGGTATTGTATGATAAAAATATCAGCAAATCATACAAAAAGAATGTGCAAATGTACATGTATAGAATTATAAAAGGTTAATGTACTATAACTAGTCTATATGTCTCATGAACACAAGTGCCATCTCACTCAAATTTTTATGGATAGTTAATGGTTATTTTATTTCATTGTATGCATTATGTCTGAGTGACTTATCATTAGCTATCCCATTGTTTACATTAAGCCATATGCATTATCATTAGATATTCTGTTGTTTGCATTAAATCATAAAAAGTTTCTCTGATACCAAAGATTGCTGATCATGATTAAAATGCTTTGTTCTCATACCTTCATTGCAAATGTTTTGCTAGACTATATTATCATTGTGTGGAGGAAGATATTTAATGTCATTTATTGGTGGGTTTTTCTTTCTTTGGTTGACAAGTTGGTGTTCTGTTGATTTTTTTTCATTTTGCACCTATCATTGCCATTTTGAAATCGTAGTACAAAAATGTTTTGCTTTTGTAATAAAAAGACAAAATTGTTTTGTGGCTTTCAGTTTTTATAGATTAACTTTCTCTCTCTCTCTCTCTCTCTCTCTCTCTCTCTCTCTCTCTCTCTCTCTCTCTCTCTCTCTCTCTCTTTTTTGCCAAGCCGTTGAATTGTTCATTGAGAAATTTGTACAAAAGTTGTTTCAGTCTTATCAGTGCAAGATTCAAAGATGGCTGATATTTTGCTCAAATAAACAAGGACATTGGATACATTTTAATAGCACCTTCATGAAAACTCATTTCCACTTGGTCAGTGGCACAATGATACCACAATATTTAGTTGTCACACAGTCTGTACTTCCCATCTTTGTTAGGGCACTTGCTTGGCCAAGTCATCCGAGTCCTGTAGTAAGTATTGTCCATATGCTGGTGAATGAGTTTGATTTCCAGCATTCCATATTTTCTTTTACGAGTTAGGCCCTGAGTGGCTGAGTGGTTTTCCGGGGTTCTTCCACTTCCATAAATACTGGCTGCCATATATAGCCTATCTTGTGTTGAAAAATGGCGTTAAACCCCATAACAACAACGAGTTAGGGCCCATGATTTATCTTTCCTTTAACTTTGGTTTCTACAGCAGAATTTGACTAATGCTTGTTGGATTTCACAACAGATTTTGCATGCAGCTGTATATTGAAGTTTGCTTCCTTCATTATACATTATTTACAGGAGTTATGGTTCATGAAAGTTTTAAATCAAGCTTCATTAAAGATTGTTGACAAGAGTTATAACTCCTGATTTTACATTCTTGTAATTTTGATTTCAATGGCATGGGTGGCACTCACCAGTTATTATGTACTTTTTAGAGAGTGATGTATATAAAATGAAGTTGTTTGAATTTTAAACATGCACAGTGGAGAGAATATTGACATACCTATTTGCTACTTTCTTTTAATGTGGCTGAAATTTCTTTGTATATTGTACTTTTTGAAATTTTAAATAATCTTAGCACACTACTAAAATGACTGCTCCTTTATGCTCCAAAAATCAACCTAAATTTGTCTAAAGTACACTATCCTTGGCAGCTATTAAAATAGGGAAAATTAATTTTGCCAAACTAGACAATACCAGCTTCTAAGAGTGCTATGAATGAATTACAAAACATATGAAATGTAAAAAGTTATTGGCTCTTTTTTTTACTATTTATCTCTGATGTTAGGGAAGTAAAAATGAGCAATTAGAGCTAGCACATTTTTGAAAGGTGCACATCTCGAGTAAGGCCAAGCTGTATACCCTGTAACCCATATTAAACTCATCAATCATACACCAAAATAAAGGGAATTAAAGGTTCTTTGAACAATACCTAAGATATGCAAAGTCTTGTTTAAATAGCCATTATAATTCTTTTTCTTTAAAATTCTAGCCCTATTCTAAATACGAAACTGTAGAGCACCACCATGACATTAAGGGTTGTTATATTGAAACAAGCAGCAGCTTTCTATTGGTGAGAGAATGTAAGAACTTAATTTCTGTGATTCCACAGCATTCTGTAGAAGAGTTACAGCTCTTAATTGACTGATTGCCTAATATTTTGATTTTGGGAGCATGACTTTACAAATTATCTTTGGATCTCGAGTAAATTTGATATACAGTTTTATCTTAATGGTACTCTTGGTATGTTTGATTTTCAGAACTCTCAAATTAATCATCAGGACCATGGTCTGGACTTGGACCCAAGCAAATGGGAAATCATAAGGACCAAGGTCTGGACTTGGTTTTTAGCTATGCTGGCATGTAGACATGATCACACAAGCTAATGTGACATCAATAGGACCAAGGTTTAGACTTGGGTTTTAGCTATACTGACTTGTAGACATGATGACATAATCAAATGGGGATAAATTTAACAATTTAATCCAGTTTATGGATATATCATAAGAATTAAACAAATGATACCACTTCAATAAAATTTCATAAAACTATAAAATTGAAACTAACTTATGTCTGTGATGGATGTGTTCCGTGATCTCTCTATCAGGAGTCCCAGTAACTCAGTGGTAGTGTGTCACACTCTACCAGGAGTCCCAGTAACTCAGTGGTAGTGTGTCACACTCTATAAGGAGTCCCAGTAATTCAATGGTAGTGTGGTGCACTCTATCAGGAGTCCCAGTAACTCAGTGGTAGTGTGTCACACTATCAGGAGTCCCAGTAACTCAGTGGTAGTGTGTCACACTCTATCAGTAGTCTCAGTAACTCAGTGGTAGTGTGTCACACTTGATCAGAAGTCCCCGTAACTCAGTGGTAGTGTGTCACACTCTATCAGGAGTCCCAGTAACTCAGTGGTACTGTGTCACACTCTCTCAGGAGTCCCAGTAACTCAGTGGTAGTGTGTCACACTCTCTCAGGAGTCCCAGTAACTCAGTGGTAGTGTGTCACACTCTCTCAGGAGTCCCAGTAACTCAGTGGTAGTGTGTCACACTCCATCAGGAGTCCCAGTAACTCAGTGGTAGTGTGTCACACTCTATCAGGAGTCCCAGTAACTCAGTGGTAGTGTGTCACACTTAAATGGTAAATGTTCACATCCAGCAATGGAAATGGTAAATGTTCACATCCAGGTACTAAAATGGTAAATGTTCACATCCAGCTGCTGAAATGGTAAATGTTCACATCCAGCAATTGAAATGGTAAATGTTCACCTCCAGCAATGGAAATGGTAAATGTTCACATCCAGCAATGGAAATGGTACATGTTCACAACCAGCAATGGAAATGGTACATGTTCACAACCAGCAATGGAAATGGTAAATGTTCACCTCCAGCAATGGAAATGGTTAATGTTCACATCCAGCAATGGAAATGGTACATGTTCACAACCAGCAATGGAAATGGTACATGTTCACAACCAGCAATGGAAATGGTAAATGTTCACCTCCAGCAATGAAAATAGTACATGTTCACATCCTGCAACTGTATTGGACGATGTTCACATCTGGCAATGAAAGTGGTAAATGTTCACATCTGCTGTAGTAAATGTTTACATCCAGCAATGGAAATAGTAAATGTTGATATCCAGCAATGGAAATGGTAAATGTTGATATCCAGCAATGGAAATGGTAAATGTTCACATCCAGCAATGGAAATGATAAATATTCACACCCAATAGTTGCAATGGTAAATGTTCACATCCAGCAATGGAAATAGTAAATGTTCACATCCAGCTACTGAATTGGTAAAGGTTCACATCCAGCTACTGAAATGGTAAATGTTCACCTCCAGCAGCTGAAATGGTAAATGGTCACATCCATCAATGGAAATGATAAATATTCACACCAAACAGCTGCAATGGTAGATGTTCACATCCAGCAATGGAAATAGTAAATGTTCACCTCCAGCAATGGAAATGGTAAATGTTCACCTCCAGCAGCTGTAATGGTAAATGTTCACCTCCAGCAGCTGAAATGGTAACTGTTCACCTCCAGCAACTGAATTGGTAAATGTTCACTTCCAGCAGCTGTAATGGTAAATGTTCACCTCCAGCAGCTGAAATGGTAAATGTTCACCTCCAGCCACTGAAATGGTAAATATTCACCTCCAGCAGCTGAAATGGTAAATGTTCACCTCCAGCAACTGAAATGGCAAATGTTCACATCCAGCAGCTAGAATGGTAAATGTTCACATCCAGCAATGGAAATGGTAAATGTTCACATCCAGCAATGGAAATAGTAAATATTCACATCCAGCTACTGAAATGGCAAATGTTCATATTCAGCAACTGAAATGGCAAAGGTCTACATCCAACCACTGGAACATCCCAGGTCAGCTACTGTGGAGTG